TGAAGAAATTGAGGCTCACTCAATGCCGGGCCGCCTCTGAGCTATCCCAAAGTGGAAACCGATAGTGCTAACCAGTCTGGTGATCTTTACGGTTCCAGTCTTGCGCCATAGCATCTGGAGAATGGCTCTGCTTCTCCCTTTGCAGGAGAGAGGTGGCGACTGAGGGCAGCCCCCGACTGGAGCACATTGCTCTGCGTCCTGGGAGCAGGTAGGGCTGTAGAAAGGGAGAGTCTGTGGTCCCCCCACCCAGAAAGGCTGGTGCTTTGGTTTGGCTCCACCCTCCCTTCTCCCTTTGATTGTACCTCCTGCTCCCCATCTTAGCAGGCGGGGAGCCGGTGCCACATTTCCACTCTATCGCAGTAATATCACCTTTTAAGATTTTTGCCCTGCCCCCTCCCCTCACCGTTTTTTCTCAAGTAGGCTTCGTACCCAGCACAGAGCCCAACGCGGGGCTTGAAGACCCCCGAGATCGAGGCCTGAGCTGAGATCAAGAGTCGGATGCTTAACTGAGCCACCCAGGAGCCCCTATAATAACTTCACGTCTTGGGGCGCTTGGGTGGCTCAGTCGGTTAAGCGTCAGACTCTCAGTTTTGGTGCCGGATGCGGTCTCACGGTTTGTGAGTTTGAGTTCGAGCCCTGCGTCGGGCTCTGCGCTGACAGTACGGAGCCTGCTAGGGATTCTCTCTCTCTCTCTCTCTCTCTGCCCCTTCCCTACTTATGCGCATGCTTGCTCGCTTGCTCTCAAAAACAAACATTGAAAATAATATCCGCTCTTGCAGAGCTTCATGATTTGCAAAATCTGTTCCCATCGATCACTCCATCGATCCTCACACTCTCTGCCCGCTAAAGGGTGGGAAGAACAGGTGTTCTGACCCCTGTTTAGGGAGGCTGAAGCCCAGAGAAATCAGTGCACCTTTCTGTTGGGTAGTGGGGTGGTGGTGGTGATGGGGCACATGGTTTTCCTTTGGTTTGGTTTTGTAAGCGTGGGAAGAGTGGCCAAGAGGATGAAACCGTGGTCATAGTGGATGAGGAGTTTGCAGTTCTTGGGATTTGTACAGAAATGTGTACATTGATATTGTGGTCATTTTTTTAATAGAGTTAAAAAAAATTTTTTTTGTTTATTTATGAGAGAGAGAGAGAGAGCGCGCGCGCGCGCGCGCGCGCGCGCGCAAGTGGGGGAGGGGCAGAGAGAGGGAGACACAGAATCTGAAGCAGGCTCCAGGCTCTGAGCTATCAGCACAGAGCCCGTTGCGGGGCTCCCACTCTTGAACCGCGAGATCATGACCTGAGCCAAAGTCGGACGCTTAACTGACTGAGCCACCCAGGCGCCCCGATATTAATGTGGTTATTAATCGTTATACTCTTGAGCATTTTATTTTGTTCTTTTGCACCCCCCTCCCCCCACCAGTCCATCCCAGGCAGATGACAGAGGAAGAAGCTGGTGGGGCTGAGTACTGCTTCTCAGAGGACATCCCTGTATCTCTGGCAAGATGGGGGGGTCTGGGGTCCGGGAGACACCCCAAGGGGCTGATCTTCTTTGGTCTTCATTCTTCCTTCCTTTGCTATAACTTTTTCCAGGAGCTGAGGCAGCAAGAAGGCCATTCTCTGGGAGAGTTGGTGTGCTTAGCTGGTAAGGCTGATGGCACCTGAAGCACTCCTGCTAGGTCAGGAGTGTTTCACCATCTTGCTGGGCAAACCAGGATAGAGGGGGAAAGGGGACACGGCGCCTGGGGTGACCAACCAGACAGGTTTACCCTGGAATGGGGATTTCTCTGATGTGGAATTTTCAGTGCTAAAACCCAGGACAGCTGTAAGGGCACCTGGGTGGCTCAGTCAGTTAAGCATCCAACTCCAGCTCAGGGCATGACCTCACAGCTCGTGAGTTTGAGCCCAGTGTCGGGCTCTGTGCTGACAGCTTGGAGCCTGGAGCCTGCTTTGGATTCTGTCTCCCCCTCTCTCTCTAACCCTCCCCTGCTTGTGCACGCGTGCTCTCTCTCAAATATAAACATTAAAAAAAAAGTAAAAACGAGGATATCTCTAGATAAATGGAGATGGCTGGTCACCTGGTTGGCCTCCCCTTCCCATCCTCCGCCCTGCCCTTCATGCTCCAGGAACTTCATGGTTCATGACGGGCGAGCATCTGGTGGGAAGGCTCCTTGTGGATGAGGGTCCTCTCCCCGGTGGCTGCCTCTCCACGCATGCTGGCTTTTGGCTCCTCCCCTCCCTAAGTGTTCTCGTCTCTGAATCTCCCAGAACAACAAGGATCTGGTAGACCGCTAACAAGGACAGCCAACAGGTTTTAGTTAGCTCTGTGCTACGTAACGTGGCTCTTTTCCACCTCTCCACAAAAATCTTTACTTAAAATACCCATTTCTCCTTAAAAATCTAGACACTGGCTGTGCTTTGTTGGCATCTCAGAATGGGAGGCAAAGAGTGTGATTTGAAGTTCAGCTTTAGGCCTGGTTTGGCAGAGTCTTTTGTTTTCTAAAGCTTTTCTCCAGGTCCCAGAGGGACCTTTGCCTGCAGCCCCTTCTGTCCCTGTCCCAGACCACTTCCTTTTCTGTAACCTGATTCCTCTTGTATTCATTCAAGGTTCTCCAGACAATACCTTCCAAACCTAGTTCTTTGTTAGGATAGAGCTTGGTTATTCCTTATTATTATTATAACCCACTCCCCCCCCCCTTACAATCTCTTCTTCTTGCTCCCTGATCTTTGGCAGATAAAAAGTTCTCTTTAACTTTTTAATAAAGGCCTGGAGCTCTCTGATAGGCTACTGTATGCTCTTACATAGTCTCGTTTACTCGCCTTGATAAAGTTCCATTTCCCATGAAGAAGACGAGATGCAAGGAGGTTGACCAGCTGGCTCCTCTTTGTAGACCAGTTTAGCTGCGACTGGGACTGCCCAGTCTTTTGATTCAATTCTGTCATGCTGTTTTTAGAGCATTGACTTGGAGGCCGGGACACCCGGGTCGTAGTCCCATCTTGACTCTAACTGGGTAACTTAGAGCAAAGCACTTGATCATTGGACACCTGTGTCCTGCCTTGTCGGAGTAAAACAAGAGGTGGGGGTGAAAGCCTTTGGAGGTGCCCTCCTGTGCTTATGCTTCACTTCTGTCCTTTCTTCTCTCTGGGAAACTGTCTTCACAGTCCAGGTGTTCTCCTCGTTTCTGCCTCCTCTCACTGGCTACCCTTTTGGGCTCTTCTCTTTGATTAGACTTCTTGATTATCTCTGCGGCTTACCCTCTACCATTTGGTAAGAGGACTTGTTACTATGACTTTTGATTTCCTAAACTTCCTGCCTCCTTTAGGTTACCTGGATGACCGTATCTGAAAGTCATTGCAAAAGTATTTGCTGTGCGGTGGGTGGTGGTGGTGATTAATTACTCTGCTAGGAGGCCTGTTGGGTGATCACCATGGGAAGCTGGGTCATTAGATGCAGGCTGGCAGTCTGGGATTGCCTAAAGGGAGGTAAGAGAACAACATCTGAAAGATTTTGCTTCACAGGAAAAGCTGCCACGTGTTTGTTCATTTGTTTGATGGGCCAGGCTTTGTGCCGGGTATTCAGAAACGGTGTTGATGACAACAGCGGCTCCTAGTTATTGCAGTCTAGTTAGGGAGGGCACAGTTAATCTTAAGAATCAAACAGAACTCACGACTGATGAATGAACCAAGTACAACGGGGAGAGCTAACCTAGAGAGCTGAAAAGATGTATGAACCGAGCACTTTATGTGCGTTATCTCATTGAAATTTTTTTTTTTTTTACATTTATTTATTTTTGAGAGACAGCATGAGCAGGGGAGGGACAGAGAGAGAGGGAGACACAGAATCTGAAGCAGGCTCTAGGCTCCAAGCTGTCAGCACAGAGCCCGACGCGGGGCTCCAACCCACGAACCGTGAGATCATGACCTGAGCCGAAGTTGGGCGCTCAACCCACTGAGCCCCCCAGGCGCCCCTATCTCATTGATGGCGGCTCTGTAAGGAGGGTAGACTTTGTCCTGTTTTGTAGAAGAAACCGCAACTGATTTTAATCCAGATCTGACTCGAAAGTCCAGGTTCTTTCTGCTGTACCTTGCTCCCTCCCTGACCAGTCCTTGATCCCAGCCTCTGTAATTCTCTGTGCAGAGGCTCTGCTTGTCTTTGGGTGGAAAACATGGAAGCTTCCATGTCGTGATTTGAAGGGGCTGGTGAAAAGGCATCTCGGTCCCCAAATAGCCACTGTATGGTCTGATGCTCCGTGCTGGGAACTCTGGCCAGCGAATAGCTGCTGAGGATGTTGGGTTTCCGTGAGATGCTAGGAAGGCAGGCTCATTAGTCCGGCCATTGGCACCAGTGTTGTCCTACCACGGGTTGGTTTATCTAATTAGCTGGCTGTGTGCGGAGTGGGGAGAGGGACTTGGAACCCAGGACAGTGGGGTTTTGGTGGGGACAAGGGAAGGGGGCAAGGAGATCGCGGAGAGAACGGCTGCCGCCCTGGAAGGAGGGCTGGATACAGGGTACCTGGAAAGGTGAGGAAAGGGATTGAGAATGAAGAGTAAAAGGTCACTAGAGACCAGCTTTGCCTCCCTTGTTCTTATCAATAACCGGTCTGTCTCTGCGTTAGTTCTCCTTTCAGAGATGGAGCGCATGAGCCTTTTGTTTTCTCAGCTCTTGTGGGGGAAAAAGGAACCGGTATCCGTGGCCTCCGTTGCACACGGATTAGAGACCAGTGCAGCCTCGTGGCTGAGCCCAGAGCGGAGCGGCTCAGGCGTCTGCTGGAGTTCTGGAGCTTCTGCTGCTCAGGGTTCGGGTGGCGTCAGGGTGAAAGCGTAGCCTGTTGGGGCAGCTGGCCTTCCCGGCGCCTCTGGTGTCCCTCCCTTCTCACTTACTTTGTTGTTCCTCGCTTTATTCTGATGTAGACTGCCCCTCCTCAGCCTAAGCCTGCCAGAGGGCACCCATGGTGGTGCTTGATGGAGCTGGTAGCACCTGAGACCCCTTATCGAGGAGGGTGGGGAGGCCTTACCCATAACTTGAACTTGAAAGAGGAGAAGAGCTCTAATGTATACAAGAGCAGGCCCATGGCTGCCGGGTGATGAGAAACATCTTGAGGACAGAGTAGAGTCTGAATCTTTTTGGTTTTTTTTTAAGCTTATTTATTTTGAGAGAGAGAGAGAAAGCGAGCACGCACGCCCGTGAGGGGCAGAGAGAGAGGGAGAGAGAGCAAGAATCGGAAGCAGGCTCTGCACCATCAGTGCGGAGCCCGATGTGGGGGCTCGAACTCACAAACCGTGAGATCATGACCTGAGCCGAAATCAAGAGTCAGATGCTCAACTGACTGAGCCACCCAGGCGCCTCTGGAGTCTGAGTCTTTATAGAGACCAATGTTAGCCTTCCATAAAAGGGAGAACTTTCTAGCAGCTGTCGTCTGAGGGAGTGATCTCTTCATCGGGGGTAGTATTTAAGCATTGCTGGTTGACGATGTGGCGGGCACCTACAGAAGAGATTAAAATTCCAGGTGTATGTATGTGCGTGGGGGGTCAGGCAACACGATCTGTATTTACTGTCCCTCCCAACCCTGAAATCTACTTCCTTTCCTTAGTCTCACTGTGGCCTGACCTTTTCTTTTTTTTCCCCCTTTCACTCATGGTCTTGAACGTTGAACTTTCTAAGCTGCAAAACGTAGGATACGTTATTTTATCTTTTTTCTTGGCGTGTCTTTAAGAATCTATTCCTGCCTAGAAGATGAGCACTGTTTGTGTTTTGGGATTGCCCTTGTGTGCCTGGTTCACCCAGACAGTCCCAGAAATGTCATGGTGTTTGGACTCTTTGCTTTAGAAGGTTCAGCGTGATACAGAAATAATCTATTTTGTGAGCTTCTGTTTCATTTTATTGCATTGGAGAGTCGGAATGTGAAATGAGATTGCTATACTCTTACAGTGTGGAAAAATGCGTATTCTTTGGGGGAGGGAAATATATCTTCTAGAACTAGCACTAAAATTCAGTACAGTTATAACTCATATTTTTTCCCTTGGAATGCTTTATCTGGTGAATTTAAGCAGCTAGATGACAGCCAGCAGTGTGGACTCGCACGGACGAGCGTTTGGGCAGCCAGAGTGGATGTTGAGGGTCATGGCCTTGCCTTAAAGAGAGCACTTCAGAGGCTCACTCAGAACCCATTTTGGTTGTAATTCTACTTTCTTGTCCACAGCAAATCAAAAGAAGGACGGTTATTTTTCGTGTGTGGGTTTTTAAGATCACAGCTTTACTGAGAAGATGCAGTGAGTTTTATGGTATGTAAATTTTAACCGTACAATTCAGTGGTTTTTAGAATAATCACCTTGTAGCACAAATGCCACCACTATCAAATTGCAGACCATTTGTATCCCGCCCAAAGGACCCTATCGCTCCTAATCTCCCGATTCCTGGCAACTGCTTACCTACTTCCTGTTTCTATGGATTTGCCTGTTCTGGACGTTTCCTATAAGGTGTAGTCTTTGGTGACTAGCTGCTTCCACCCGGCATGATGCTGAAGTTCATCCGTGAGGTAGCATGTGTCCGTACCCCAGTGCTTTTTACTGCCAAATAACAATACGTTTTCTTTGCACATCCCTCCATTGATAGACACTTGGGTCGTTTCCATTTTGGGGCTATCATGCATAATGTGGCTATGAGCGTTCATGCACAAGTATTTGTGTGGCCTTACGTCTTCATTTTTTTTTTTTTTTGGCGGGGGAGGGGGGTGCATACCTAGCAGTGGGATTGCTGGTTCATATGTTAACTCCGTATAACTTCTTGAGAAAGTGGTTGCACTGTTTTGTTTTTTTTTTTTAACAGCAATGTATGAAGATCCTAATTTCTCCATCGCCTCATCAATACTCGTTATCATCGGTCTTCCTTTAGCCATCCTAGTGGGTGTGAAGTGTATCTCATTGTAGTTTTGATCTACATTTCCCTGATGACTAATGATGAGGCATTTTTTTCATGTGGTTATTGGCCATTGATCTTTTTGGGAGAAGTGTCTGTTCATATCCTTTGCTCCTTTTTGTTTTTTGTTTTTTTTTTTAAATTTTTTTTTTTCAACGTTTATTTATTTTTGGGACAGAGAGAGACAGAGCATGAACGGGGAGGGGCAGAGAGAGGGAGACAGAATCGAAACCAGGCTCCAGGCCGTCAGCCATCAGCCCAGAGCTACGCAGGGAGCTCGAACTCACGGACCGCGAGATCGTGACCTGGCTGAAGTCAGACGCCAACCGACTGCGCCATCCAGGCGCCCCTCCTTTTTGTTTTTTAACATTTATTTATTTTTGAGAGAGAGCGTGTGCGCTGGAGGAGCAGAGAGAGGGAGACAAAGGATCTGTAGCGGGCTCTGCGCTGTGAGCACAGAGTGCGACATGGGGCTCGAACACATGAACTGTGAGATCATGACCCGAGCCAAAGTCAAGAGTCGGCCACTCAACCAACTGAGCCACCCAAGCTCCCCTTCTTTGCTCATTGTTTGTGTAGATTGTTTGTCGTTTATTGTTGACTTGTAAGAGTTATATCCTGGATGAAAGTCCCTTATCAGATATGACTTATAAATATTTTTCCCATTGCATGAATTGTCCCTTGACTTTCTTGATATCCTTTGAAGCACAAGTGTTTTATCTACCTACCTACCTACCTACCTACCTATCCATCCATCAGGGTGTGAGTGGGGGAGAGGGGCAGAGGGGGAGAGAGAGAATCCCAAGTAGGCTCCACACTCAGCACAGATTCCAACGTGGGGCTTGATCCCTCAATGCTGGGATCGTGACCTGAGCCAACATCAAGAGTTGGATGCTCAACCGGCTGGGCCACCCAGGCGCCCTGAAGCGGAAGTGTTGTTAATTTTGATTAAGTCCAATTTATTTTCCTCCTGTTTGTGCTTTTGTTTATCCTAAGAAACCATTGCCTGATCTAAGGTCATGAAGATTTACTATGTTCTAAGAATTTTATAGTTTTAACTCTTAGATGTATGATACATTTTGAGTTAATTTTACATAATAACGTGTAGTAGGCGTCCCGAGTTCATTCTTTTGCATGTGGATATTTAGTTGTCCCAGCACCACTGTTGAAAAGACCACTTTTTCTCCAATGAATTGTCTTGGCATGCTTGTCAGCAATCAGTTGGCCATAAATTCAAGGATTTATTTCTGGACTCTCAATTTTACTCCATTGATTTATATGTCTAGCTTTATGCCAGTACCACACTATATTGATGGCTGTAGCTATGTAGTGCTTTTTGAAATTGGGAAGTCTGAGTCCTACGACCTTCTTTTCCAAGATTGTTTTGGCTATTCTGGGTCCCTTGGATTTCCACATGAATTTTAGGATGGACTTGTCAGTTTCTGCAAGAAAGACCAATGGGATTTTGTGATACTGTAATGCAATCAATATGTATTTGGTCTCTAGTTCCTGGCACAGAGTTCCTTAAAAACCCTTAGAATTTCCTGAATGATAAGAGTGAGCGGAACATCTTTTGTTTTTCATAAGAAGCCTCTTTGTACCTTATCTTGAGCTGATGTTAATGAGGTGACTCTTGGTGGGTCCCTAGTAACTTCAGCATGGGGGATGGTTGTGAGAGAGACACCAACCATGTAACTGGAAGGTTGGAACTTTGAACCTTACAGGAAGGCAGAGGGACTGGAGACTGAATTCAGTCTCAGTGACCAGTGACTTATGCCTGTGTGGTGGAACCTCCATAAAAACCCTAAACAGTGGATTTGGAGAGCTTCTAAGTTGGTGAGCACCTTGAGGTGTTGGGTGGCCTTCCTGGAGAGTCTCACTGGAGCTCTGTGTCCCTTCCCTCATACCTGTGTACTTCTTTATCTGGCTGTTCATTTGCATCCTTTATAATAATTTGGTCATAGTAAGTAAAATGTTTCCCTGAGTTCTGTGAGCTGATAAAGGCAAATTATGGAAACTGTGAGGTGATCATGGGAATCCCTGAGTTATGGGTGGTTGGTCAGAAGTATGGGAGGCTTGGGATTTTTGACCAGCCTCTGAAGTGGGGGGGCAGTTTTGTGGAGTTGAGCTCTTAACAGGTCGGGTATGTGCAAACTCTGGGTAGTGAGCGTCAGAATTGAATTAAATTGTAGGATACCCAGTTGGTGTTTGCAGAGAACTGGAGAATTACTTGGTGTGGAAAACCCACACGTTTGATAGTGCAAGTGCCAGTTTATAAACAGGTTATAGATTTTAATGGAGATTGCATTGAATTTGTAGATCAGTTGGGGAGCATTTCTTTTTTTTTTTTTTTTTTTTTTTTTTTTTTTTTTTTTTTTTTTAGTTGGGGAGCATTTCTATCTTAAGTCTTCCAATCCATGAACATGAGCAGTCTTCCTGCTGATTTAGGTCTTTTTGAATTTTGCAGTATTGTTTTATAATCTTCAAGGTACATATCTTATGCCTCTTTTGTTAAATTAATTACTAAGTATTTCTTTGGATGCTATTGTAAATGGAGTTTTCCTAATTTCATTTTTAACTCATTCATTGATTTTGACAGTGTGTGTGTATTCCTTGGGATGTTTTATATACAAGATCATGTCATCTATGAATGGAGATAGTTTGGTGGCTGCTTTTCCAACTTGGATGCCTTTTATTACTTTTCTTGCCAAATTGCCTGGCTAGGACTTCCAGATCCGTGTTGAATAGAAGTGATGAGGGCAGACCTCCTTGACATGGTCCTGATCTTAGGGGAAAAACATTCAGCCTTTCACCATTTAGTAGGATAGTAGCTGTGGGTTCATTTGTTGGTTTATCACCCTTTATTAGATGGAAGAAGTTTCCTACCATTCATAGTTGGTTGAGTATTTTCATCATGAAAGGGTGTTGGATTTTATCAAATACCTCTTGTCAATTGCGTTGATCAAATGGTCTTTGATCTTTATTTTATTAAATGGTCTATTAACTGTTCTATGTTCAACCAACCTTACATTCTTGGGATAAATCACACTTGGGCACTGTGTATAATCCATTTTATAAGTTGCTGGGTTTGTATTGCTAGTACTTTTTTGAAGATTGGGGGCAGTTATTGTTAAAGGCAGAAGCATATTTATAGCC